CTTAATCTACTCTGGCCCTTTAGGAGTTGGGAACTCTATCCGGGCAGAACTGCTAGCTGCAATACAAGGAATACTTCTTGCAAAAGAAGTGGGCGTGGAGCAGCTTCTGATTGAAGGAGGAGACTCTAAGACAGTGGTGGACTGGTTAAATAATCCGGAGGATGCCACTTGGGGCTACAAAAATGAGTTAAAGAAATTCAAATGGCTGCCAAGAAATATGTCTATAACATTACAATGGGTTGGGAGATCAACTAATGCTTTTGCTGATGTCTTGGCAAAACAAGGGATAAATAGGGAAACATTGTTCTGGGCACAATTGTAACTATTGTTTTAATTTCAACATTCATGTTTTCTCTGTTGTAGTTTGTGTATTTGCTGTTTGGAGAGGCTGCTCCTCGCGCCTCTAAGGGGATCTTCTTGTATCTATTCATTATTTTAATGGAATTGATGTTATTTATCAAAAAAAAAAAAAACAAAACAGATTGATAATTTTCCATATCCAATAAATAGAACAGATTGATAATAACAACCACAAATGATATTTCATACACAAGATGCTCACCAGCACATCTTCAATGCACAGAGGTGTCAAGCCTCCTCTGTTGAACCAATTGTGTTTGACCTGCATAAATTACGAATCCACTTGCAATTGGGTTTTATATATAAATAGAAAATAAGTACTGAAAATCAATTAATAAAATTGACAGCATTGCACCTAAAGTTGGTACATGAAACAGAGGCGGTTCCTAAAATCCAATGAAAAGGCCATAGATACAACAAAGATGCAATAAAATTAAAGAAGTCAGAAGATAGAAACTGTTGGAATCACGTTTTTTGGTAGAAGTTGGAAGCATATCAAGACATTACAAAATGATTTCAGATAAAGTAACATATACATTTAAGATTTGAAGTTTTATAAAGTCCACCTACTGTCAACAATCATATTAAATCTCAATCTCCCATGAAGTACATAGTTCCAATATAGCAGATATTTAGCTCAACATCAAACCCCTCCTAACGTAAACATGCGTGCACACAAACACAAAAGTTTTCATGTCAGTAGCAAGTAAATAGCCAAAATTATGTTAAAATGGGTAAGTAGCCAACAAAATTTTCCTCGAAGACCCAAGAAGCTGAAATAGAGCAAAGTTATCTGGACCACTTAAACCATGTACAAAATTCATGTAAAGAATCTGTACAAAAACAATGTGGGCAAGAATCTGATATGTGCCTTAGGAGAACTCACCCCTAAAAGCTAGCTGTTAGAGGGAGGGAACCCAAGCACATATATACCCCACAACAGCATCCCATACTACCAACATAAGACAACTGGATCGTAACATCCCACCACGCTTCCGCAGTCCCGAGGCTCACGCAGGCTGGCTTTTCACTAGTCCACCTAGTCCCAGCCGAACACTGCAATACCAACGTCACCACCTGCGCCGCACCATTGCAACTGGGAGGCTGGGAGGCATAGTGTAGGCTCTGATACCATTTGATACGTGACTTAGGAGAATTCACCCCTAAAAGCTAGTTGTTAGAGGGAGGGAACCCACGCACATTTATACCCCACAACACAGCATCCCATTCTACCGATATGGGATACCTCATATTAGCATCCCACATGTTGACAAATGGATCGTAACAGAATCCGAACAGAATGTAATACAGGAATCAAAGCAGTTTCACAAAATAAATCAAGGATATCACAGAAATGGGTTATCGAATTCTCTAGTAAATGGGAAAGAAAAACTATTCTGTAAGAGAAAAAGAATCGCCTATAAAGTATTAACTGAAGAATTATGTCAGCCAAATACAGTTAGATATGGATTAAAACTTATAGCAGCTAACAAAATGAGAAAGGCCCATAACCGAAAACCTCGGACGCATGGATGATGAAGACGCCAAGATGTCGAGCAACTCTCAGAATCAAATCTTTCCAGAACAAGAACTTGGGTTCCCAATCTGATCTTTGTCCGCTAAAAGCCTTGAAACGGGACGTAGCAACGACTTCGTCGTCCCAATCAGGCACTTCCCTTCTAATGAACTCCACGACAGACGAATTCATATAAACCAGAAAGTAAGTTCAATTCCTCCAGAAATATTCAACCGAATTCGAGGTCGAAAGTTGGCAATTGGTTCACAAACTCTCACAACACAACAAGAAATACCAAAAAAAAAGAGTTGAAAATTTTCAAAATTTTTCCGCCAAAGATGTTTTGTTTCAGAGAGAGGACGGTTGAAGATCGTCGATTTTGCAACAACAAATTGGGGGTTCTAGTTCGAGTAAGAGGGAAGAGGGAAGACTGAGGAGAGTTCAGGTGCGTAATACCGTAATATTCCATTCATCAATATTAGGGTGTATTTGGTTGGTGGGTTTTTTATTTATTTTGGCTCGAGTGATAATTTTGGTCCCCAAACTTTAAAATAGGAAAATCTAGTACCCGAATTTTCAAAATGTGATAATTCAAATTCTCTTTATCAACCATCCAAATTCTTTTTATCAACCATTTGAAAAATAAAAAATGCCCTAGGAATGTCATCTAATTTTTTTTATCAATCATCCAAATTCTAAACAGTCACCAACTTTTTTTAATAGAAGATGCTAGGATTTGGGACTCTTTAGTTTTTTGTCAACGTTTGGATGGTTGATAAAGAGAATTGGATGGCATTCAAAGGGCAACTTTAACTTTTTAAATGTCACTTAACGACTGATTAATGAACTGGTTAACAACAGGTACTGGATTGTTACATTTTGAAAATCCAGGTACTAGATTGTTGCATTTTAAAGTTTGGGTTTCAAATTGTCACTCGAGCCAAAGTACAAGGTAATAATCGGGAATTTTCTCTTTTCTTTAATAATGAAAGGGGGCTACACGAGTGGGGTGGGGTGGGGTTAGCACTTAGCACGTTCCCAAATATCACAAAAACAAATAAAATCTAGGGGTTTTTTATGGTTCAGTCGGTGGAGCTAAGATTTCCTAGGGTGGAATGAATCCTGCCCGTGGATTGATGCCAAATTCACGGGTAGGATGTAGTTTATAGGGGGGCTACTAGTAGACTAGGAGGCGGCTGCAAAAAAGATTTTTGAAGGGAAATACAGTCCAAAAATCCCTAAAATCTAAGTCAAGAGCAATAAAAAAAGAGTGAACACTATCCACATAATGAATTAATTAATTAATCTGCAGCTTGCTTTGCTTTGCGATAGATATGACATGCATACCAAGACGATGACATTCCTTGATGATGTTAGAAGAAGACAATTGATGATGAGCTTGGAATTACCATCGATAATAATAGACATACCAAGGAAGATGAGAGCAGTATTGTGGGCTTTTCAAGTAGACCAAGCTTCGGCGCTCAAAATTAATTTTTATAGTACCCTCCTAAGGATTTTTCCATCTAATAGGCAACTATTCCTTCTCATGAGTACTCACGGAAACAAGATTCCCACCCAAACAAGATTTCATGTCCATAAGGAAATTAAGAGCTCTATCTATTGGCATCAGATTATTATTAAAAACTTTTTCATTTTTGTTTTTTATAAAGGAACCACAAGATAACCATGTATTTCTCTATGATTAATGGCTCACCATAATTAATAGAAGTGTCATAAATTCTTTCCCACCATTAATTCTTTTCGCAATGGTTTCTAAAAATTACTTTAACCTCTCCTGAAAATATACTAGCAAGTAAATCCATGTAATGAATGGGGTTAAATGGAAATTTAGTTAATTTGATTTGGATGGGAAAATTAGGGTTTTGATATTAGTTTGATTCCAAGTTGGGGTTCATATTTAGGGTTAGTCCTTAGCCTAACCCAAATACCCAATCTATCTAATTTATTATAGTCCTACTTCATTAGTGAGAAAAGCAAAAGGGGTTGCTAGAAGGTTTGAAATTCATACGAGAGCTTTGCCTTAACTCTGTTATTGTTAGAGGGAGATGTAAAAACCATCATCATGGCTCTATTGGAGCCTTTGAGTGCTCTTCCTTGGTGTCTTCACCAACTCCTATTTGACTGTAGAGCCATTCTTCTATCACTCCTTCAATGCTCAATGAGATTTGTGCCTAGATCAGCCAATAAAGTGCTAGCTATAGCTAGATTTGGTTTATCATCTAGTAGAATTTGTACTTGGGCAGTGTGCCGTATTTTTTTGGAACATTGTATCCACATGGATAATTCATTGAGTTTAGCATAATGTGTACGCAAGCTACATAGCATTTCTATTGTTTTATGCATGATTTTGATGATAATTTGCATGATTTCTCACCCTAATTGAGAATGATTCTAGGAATTCAAGAGTGTGGACCAACTTAGGGGGAAGATAGCATAAAACCATGTTGAGAGGGCAAATGTGGAAGCAATTTGGCCCATCTACAAGACAGGCCCAGCCGAGAGTCATAAGGAGGGCACTTTTGGCCCATAAAGAAGCAAAGCCCCATGGGGGACACCAAGAAGAGAGCCCAGCCGAGACTCTCCAAGGGAGACCTTTCAGCCCACCAAGTGGGAGGCCCAAGTGCAGCCCAAGGGGTCCTAAAGGCGGCTACCTTTTAGAAGAGAGAGAGCTGAAGAGAAAAGTACAAAAGGAGAAGAGAAAGGGGAGAAAAGGGTTCGAACCCCCAAAAGGAGAAAGGAAAGAAGAGAGGCGGGAGAAAGGAGAAAAGAGAAGATCTAGAGGAAGAAAAAGGTTGCTGAATGCGAATTGGAGGAGAATCACATCCAAGAAATTGAAGATTGAAGCAGAATTCTAGGTTGTCTTCTTCTTTGGTTCTATGCAATTGGTAACCGAATTCAGCTAGGGTTTCATGCAATTTTGTCCATTAATTTCTCTTTCTTGCTAGAATTTGAACCATGATTGATGATGTTTTCAGATCTGTAATTAGTTTTCTAGGGTTATTCGATTGATTGGATTCATTCTTGATGTTTCTTGGTTAGGGCTTTAATTGTTAGAACAGTCTTGGCCGAATTGTTCTTGATTCTTGGATTGTCTGAATTGCTTGAGAAAGAATTTAGGTAATCAGATCTACTAATCAAGAACCGAATCTAACACATCTTAGAGATAATTTGTGTGATTCGGTTGGTGTTCATTCGAATCTGAATTGATGCCCTTCGAATTGCTTGCTCTTAATGCATCCATGGGGATTAAATTCTTGATAGAGATATAAGATTTGTCACCCATAGATAGGATGAGCTGTGCTCAAAAGAGGCTGCTCATGCCATTAGGGTTTCACCAAACCATAACTGAATTCCAATTCAATTAAATAACCTAATGATTTAATTGCTAGACCGAATCTGCTAGTGTTCACATATAGCTTTTCTTCTCATTGCATGAAGGTGGTTTGATCCGAACTGATTAGGATAGCTTGCTAGTTGGAAAATAGGATTTTGATTTGGTTAATAATTTGGTTTATTAGATAACAAATGGCTGATTTATTACTAGTAGTTGTTGGATAAATCATCGTGGGAACGATATTCTACTCATCATTGTATTATTTGATCGACTAGTGCACTTTCTAGTATAAGCAATACGCATCAAGTTTTTGGCGCCGCTGCTGGGGATTTATCACAAGAATATTAGGAACCATCTGTCATTGTTAATCTGATTTTAATTTTGTGCATTATGTTTCTGATATTTGTGTATTAGTATATTTATGACTATGACTTGTACAGTTTATGATGCGCAGAAGTGAAAAGGAGAGCATCACCTACGATCCCGAGATTAAAAGAACTCTCTGCAGCCGCCTTAGAGCTTCTAGGCAAGTGAGAGTTGAAATTGAAGAGATGGCCGAACCAATAACCATGATGGACTATGCCAAACCAACCCTTACCGGGGCTGCTTCAAGCATTGTGAGACCAGCTATAGCTGCTAACAATTTTGAGATCAAACCAGCCATCATTCCGATGATACAAAACACGGTTCAGTTCTGCGACATGGCTCATGAAGATCTGAACACTCACATCGCCAACTTCTTGGAAATTTGTGATACATTCAAGCACAATGGGGTTAGTGATGATGCAGTGAGGCTTAGGTTGTTCCCATTCTCATTGAAGGACAAAGCCAAGACTTGGTTGAATTCTTTGCCGGCTGGATCTATAGCAACATGGGATGAAATGGCTAGCCGATTCCTCTCCAAGTATTTTCCTCCGTCCAAAACAGCAAAGATGAGGAATGATATCACCACTTTCTTTCAGCAGGACGGAGAGTCATTGTATGAGTCATGGGAGCGTTACAAGGAGCTGTTGAGGAAGGTCTCTCATCATGGACTTCCCATATGGCTGCAAGTCCAAACATTCTATAATGGGCTAACTGAAGCCAACAAGACCATTATGGATGCTGCAGCTGGGGGTTCCATCAATAACAAAACCCCTGAAGTTTCCCATGTACTTTTCGAGAGAGCACAAGTTAGGAGACAGTCTGGACTTCACAATGTGGACACCTATATAGCCCTATCTGCGCAAATCGGTGCACTCAGCAAGAAGATAGATGAGATGCAGATAGCAGCCATGCATGTTCAGACCGTGACTTGTGAATGGTGTGGGGGAGGTTATATCAGCACTGAATGCCAAGTTGGAAATTAGTTTGTGCAGTCCCCCGAGCAGGTAGACTTGCAAAGGCAACAAGGCAATCAGTACCCTCGTGCCTTTAACCCCAGATGGAGGAACCACTCGAATCAGTCTTGGCCAAATCAAAATGTGGTGAAACCCTTCCCCCAAAACTTCAATCAGCCGGAAAAGAAAACAAACCTAGAGGAGCTAATGACCAAGTTCATAGCAAGTGCAGAAACAAGATTTTAGAACCAAGAAGCATCAATCAAGAACTTGGCGAATCAAGTCAGGCAATTGGCACAAATGATATCAG